TCGTGACTTCTTTATTCATTATGGTTTTCCGTTTTCATTGGTTGATGGCTTATCTGACTGCCTCATGTTGTCATTTCCTATTGTACTTACTGTATGTTGTACCCCCTTTTGCATGTCCCCTCCCAATCGTACTTGTTTAATCTCTATTTGTTGTTATGATCATGTATATCTTCGTTGTACAGGTTTAATTACGTGGGTATTCTGTCATAACCTCGTCACTACGTCGTCGAGGTTAGGCTCGACACTTTCGGAGTACATTGGGTTGGTTATACTCATAGTACAGTCTGCACTTTTTGTGCAAACTTTCGTACTGGTCCCAGCTGTACGTGAGGTACATTAGCTCGGATTGGCATATTTGGAGACTCGAGGTAGATCTGCTGGCGTCCGAAAACCTTGAATTCCCATTCCTCTTTCCTTATTTACTGTTTATTTCATTCGAAACAGTTGTATTTATTTCAGACTCTATTTTTAGAACTTCTACAAGTTCGTGTACTTGTGACTCCAGATCCGGGTTGTATTTAGATATGCAGGTTATTATGCTACTTCGTACTTCATTTTAGTTTCATCTTAGTTTAATTGGTTTATTTATTTGAACTGTTTTCAGAAATTGGTTTAAAAATTTCTCTAACATTGGTTTTTCTAGCGAGTGAAATGTTAGGCGCCATCACGGTCCCGAAGGTAGAAATTTCGGGTCGTGACACTTAGCATACTATTAATTGTCTTCCTTCGTGTTGCACTATTTTTTTAGTTCTATGTAGCTAATCTTGTTGTGCTAGCCGTTGCTTTAAACTACATTGCTGCCTTTATTACACTGTAAATTGCACGGTGATTATTTCTTATGTGCCATTCATTGTCTCTGCTCTTATTTGTTGACTTAAATTGTGATAGAATACTTGCACAAGCATACACGTAGTTAATTCACCCATATCGGTTTTAGAAAATGAATCCTGACGTCATTGACCATTATACGTACTCTTGTCTACTTACCTTCTGTGTGAGGATTGTCTATTGGCACTTGAGTTGTCCGTGCGGTTATGAGTTGTAATGTGGGCACAAGATGCCAAGTGATTAGGGTTCATGAATTAGGACCCGTGAGCCGTGATTATGAGGTTCGTACCTCGTGGAAATGCTTGAACAGATCTGGTGTGAAAGCGGTTGTTCTTATTGAGTTATTGTTGGTTTTCCTTTATTTTATTTCACCGAATTTAGACTGTGATCAGCTTACTCTACAGCATTATTACCTGACTGCTTCCTGTTAAATATTGATGTTACCAGTGTATCATTGCAAGCATTGTTTTGTACTCCGTATCCTGCTTAGCTTTATATTAATATTGTTTTCTCTGTAAGTTCACCTTCACACTTGTTCAGGTTGTTTAGTCCGGTAAGTGTCTTGACTGTCCCTCGTTACTACTCTATCGAGGTTAGTCTTGATACTTACTGGGTACCGCTGTGATGTACTTATACTATGCTTCTGCATATTTTTGTGCAGATCCAGGTGCCTCAGATATTGTTGATTATTAGCTAGTTGGTCGATCATTACTGTGGAGACTCAAGGAAAATCTGTTGTCGCATTCACAGGCCTCGGAGTCACCTTCTGATATTGTACTTGTACTGCTTAATCCTTTTTCGAACATTTGTATTTAGGAATTTTTTTAGTAAACTTAGTAGAGCTTATTACTTGTACTATCCGTTTTGGGACGTTATTTCATGTTGTAAATATTGAGTTCATTTAGAAATATCCGGTTTCTGCTTAATAGTTTTGTTGGTTAATTTCTGTCAATTTATTCAATAAGTGTTAGGCTTACCTAGTCGTAAAGATTAGGTGCCGTCACGACATACTACGGAGGGAAATTGGGGTCGTGACACTTTCTTTGTAAACTTTGTACTTTGTTTCTTCCTTTAATTTTCTTTTTTTTATACATCTGGTATTCATTACCTATTAACTTTATTAATTCAGATTCAAATCTTATATGATTTATTAAATGAAAAGCATTCTTTACCCAATTCTTTTTTTAAAAAAAAATTCGTAGAGCTTGAAACTGACTTTTCATTAAAAATATGAGATTTCATCTATCTCATCAATATTCCTTAGTAGCATTTTATTCATTTGTTGGTTTCATAGAGTTACGTGGTCATATGTGTCAACACAAATGCCTTATGTGTAACCAGGGAGGACACTGCAGCTAAACATATCAACAAACATTTAACAATAAGCAACTTTTCATATGCTATTTTCACATTCATCTCTATTTTCTTCGTGTCCAGAAGTCATTCAGAGCAATTATAATTTGCCCTTTGTTTGGTCCCACTTCGCGTCACCAATGTTACTATAAGGCGAAAAGAAAGAAAAAGAAATAAAAGAACGGTAGAAAATAGTTCTATCAAATGAAAAGCCACATTAGTAATTAAAATTTGATTATGCAATTATAGATTGGTCTAGAGGATAATAGAATTGAAAAAGAAAAGAAAAAAGTAAATGATAGTGATGGTGATGAAATCCATGATTACGATAAGACCACCAGAAATAGCACCTTCCACGAAAATCACCCCATCATTCTATTTTCTTCTTACTATTACTTCTTCTGTTTCAATTAATTTGAATTCATTTGACGGAGCACGAAATTTAAAAAAAAAAGAAGATTTTTAAATTTGTGGTGTAAAATGAGACACATATATTTTATATGGCTATAAATCATTGCATAAAAATAAATTATTTTTAAATAGAAAAAGAAATTATTATTTTTGGTATAAACTAAAAATAAAATAGGTTCACATAAATTGTATAGTATGTAAATATTTTTTTTCTTTATTCTCAAACAAAATCATTATGAATTCTAAAGTGGACCAGAAATTTAGACCAAGAAAGATCTCCAATGATTCAACTTAGGACTCTTTGCCTGTGACCAATCATGATAACGTGTCTCTTAAGATAGAATTTAAAGTTTTATATACTTTTGGTATAAAAAATTATATATTATTCATATACTCAATTCGCTTAAAAGATAATTATATGTAATTTTTTTTGTTAACATAAATTCATAATCTTGTAAAAGTATTAACTTACGTATTACAAGCTAAAGTACATTAATAATAAATAAAAAATTTACTCTATTGGACTATTGGTACAACTTAAATCCCTTAATAGCAGTTACAAGCTTTTACTCTCTTGACCTTTGCCCCTAATTTAATCTTGATGGACTCCGCCCAAAACTCTTGGTTTCTAATATATATATATATATATATATATATTAGAAAATTCAACAGCAATATATCTCCAAATATTAAAGACAATATATAGTTTCAGCTTAAAATTCTCAAATCTTCATATTCTTAAGGTGAGCTGAAGATAAGATGTGGACCAATTGATAATGGGCAAATAACGAGCAATTTCTAGCAGCCAGTAACCAGTGGTTGGTTACATATGATACATCAAAGAGGTAGGTTGTGCAAAGTCCACCTGATTTATTACATAAAAGTCTCCGTCTTCATAATGAAACTTATGAGAATCTCGGCGTGGGGGTGTGATTCTTTAATTTCCAATATAATGCCAATGGTTATGTATATCACATGATATGCGATCCACAGGTCACTAAAAGCTCAGGCAGCTCAACCCTGCAATCAGTCCCATGACTTTTGCTCTCTAGCTAGCTCCCTGATCATATGAGTTTAAGTTATATATACCGGTAATATAAGAAAGTTTTACACTGTAAGGTAATTGTTATATGTTATAATTAATAGGTAGTTGTCTTATTTTAAAGATCAGAAATCTCATATTTTAAGAAGATTAATATACATATTTTGAATGATCATATAGTGTAAAATTATATAATCTAAACCGATCTCATATTTGAATTTTAAGTTAACTAATTTGGTTTATATCTATTCTTTTAAATAATTTTGTGAAGCATGTATATTTCAAACAATTCGTCATAATTTGACTATTTTATAGTACTATTTGTCAACCACAACATTTCGTCGAACTTGACACTGCAATGCTTATTTAGGTGGAGTAACTATTTGCAAACTAATTACAAATGTTAGAGTTTAAGTATAATTGATAATCTGAAAGAAAGAAAATTAAATAATATGTTTACCAATAATTAAAACTTCGCTATCGCATACTTTTCCTTCTCTACACGCCTCTAAGGCAGACAGTTTCCCTCTTCCCTTTTTCATGTTGACACTTTCTCAATCAAACAAACTAACATAACTACAGACAAATACACGTGAGCTGACTCCTACCCCTAGCTTTCCACATACACATCATCTCTATCATGACTAACCTTATCATCCAAATCATTATCTTTCTGTTTTATTAATTGGTATAAAGCCTAAAGAGCACTACTTTTAACCTTAATTATTTCTTTAACTGTTCACTTCTTACATATACCACTAGATCATGCAAAATATACCATATTATCCCGTGGCGCAACATAACATTGATACTACCGTTAGATGGAATTAAACCCTACGTCTCGTTATAATAATCTAAAAAATAGTGTAATATCATTAGTAGAAATTTAATTGAATTTCAACGGAGAGTTCCATCGGAATCCCGTGGGAAAATCAGCATTATCCCACGACATTCCCACTAAAACAGTTTCATGGGAAAACACATGGTAGGTAAAGCTCTTCCCAGTTAAATTGAATTAATAAGATACAATTTTTGTATACTCCCTCTGTCTCAATTTATGTGGCGGAATTCGGATTTCGAGAGTCAAAAAATTTTCTTTAATCGTAATTTTTTCATGTCTTATAAATATTTTGAATTATTAATTATTGTGAATTATAGTACTTTTTACATAATTTTTTAATATTTATTAGTTTTGTTTCAAAAAATTCAAAAATTTTATGTTCTAATTAAAAGTCAAAATTAAAAAGCTTGGCTCTCTAAATTCAAGCTTCACCCACATGAGCTGCGACAGAGAGTATAACCTAAACTCAGAACAAAATTCTAGGTCTGAGAAAATTAGGAGGGGAAGAAATTAAAAAGAGCAACCAAAAAATAATGCTTGCTTCATATGCGTATATTTCTTAAAGATTTACAGAGTTGTATTGCGACAAAAAACAAAATAAAGATATTGATTAATGATTAGTAACCTTCTAACTCTACAAATTAATTATACAAGTCTTTTCATTTCCGCACAAGCCCTTAACCCAAAAAAAGTGGCCGGTTTTGGGAGATTTCCTAAGAATCTAACATGACAATAATAACAATAATACTCCTATATATTGCAGTGGCAGATAACTAACAAGTTGCTGATGGACTAGTGAAGGGACTATAGAAGTGAGGTTTCGCCGGAGCGTTCTCGCCGGCGCCGGCGACTCTTTCGCAGGAAGGACACACGGCAAGGGTGGCCGCTGCCGGCAGCTGCCTGTACAAGGGCTGCGCTAGTTTTAGAGCTTTCAGTTCTTGCAGTTCCTTGTAAAGCTTCCTGTTTTCATCAGTCAGCGACTCACAACATTTCTTTAAAAACTCACAGTCTACCTCTGTTTGCTTCAGCTTCGTTCTGTAAAAAAACACCAACATCTTATTTAGATTCCTAAATTAGTTCTTAAAAAAAGTTTATAGATATATGAGTTTATGGGTATTAAGTAAGATCTCTGACCTGGCTCTTCTGTTCTGGAACCAAACTTCCACTTGACGAGGCCTTACGTTAAGCTTCCTAGCTAAGTGCTGCTTTTGCTTCTGGATTATTCGAAAACCGTAAATTCAGTTTTTGATCATTCAGAAAAACCAGCATGATTTGATCCCTTAGACAATAACTCAACGTTCAACCAAGTTAACCATTCAATTTCAAGTTAACCATTCAATTTTCTTAAAGCATGGATGCATTAATATTATACCAATTTTAAAAAATATATACATAAAATATTTAATTTTAAGAAGATATCATGTGTTCACGTACCCGTAATTAAGCCTATAAATCAGCCCTTGATCCACACTCAAAACAAATAGTTCTTTCTAAAAGTTTAAACTTTTAAATGAATTGTACGCGCTTTAACATACATCGGAGCAAATAGAGGTTGTGAAGTCACCCATTATAAAAAAGGTCTGGTCAATGAAAGAAAATTATTGGACCGATTACACGCCCCTCACGTGTGGACCTTGTTCTTTTTTTATGGCCAAATGCGTGAACTATTTTTGATAATAGGTAACGGTGTAAGATTAGATTTGATATTCAAGACTTCTGCCCCGTCTAATAACATGTTAGAAATGCATTACTATCTCATCTAAAAAAAAATTAAACTAGTATTAAAAAGAGCACATTTTTATTCTCTTAACTATGTAACTAACATAATCCATGAAACAAAGAATAGAAGATGGATGTATAGAACTTACAGGATTGAGCGTGCTATGTTGCTTGAAGCTTTCTTCTAAAAGGGCAGATTGTACTTTAGTGAGCCTAAGTTTCTTCCTTCCATTTGAAACATGATCATCTAGATCTTCATCACTAACTCTGGAAGAAAGTACTCTTTCTACCTCTGTACTAATATCCCTTTTCCTTTTCACACTAGCGTTAGAGTAGGTCGAGGAACTCAAATGATCAGCAGATTGATCCTTGGGAAGGCTTAAAGTTAGAGAGGGTTCAAAACTAAGAGATCCCTCTTTCCCCAATAGATCAGCTGGTGGTTTTCTTGATCTCTGATTATTGGCTGTTGATGAAAAGCCTAATTTTAAAGCAAGGCCCGTGCCACATATATCATCAAAACCCATCTATTAATTATCTGAACAAGAAAGAACCAACTTTTCTTTATTAATTGGTATCTTGGGTTTGTTGAGATCTATGAAGTGAGAGTCTTGGAAGAGAAGCTGGGGAATAAGAAGGGAAAGAAAATGGACTTTACGACCTTTTTATTGCGTGGTGAGTTAGATGGCGAGGACTATTAATAATCAGAATCAAAATCAAAGGGATGAATGAGTAGTTGCTTATAATGAATTGTGAAAAAAAGTCTGTTTCTCGCTCTTCATAGGTTGACATGTACATTTGAACCCCACTACGTACTGTCATCCAGTATAATGTCTCCAACAAACGAGAAAATTATTTCCGAATATAATTATAAACAACTGTTTATTATACAACAATAACAATATACCTGTGCTTCAATAACTATTTATTATAAGTAAATTAATTATTTAATAAATATATCAAACAACCTGCTGACATGTTAAAATATTAATAGTATAAATTTCTTTACATGCATTATTAGTCTACACAAAATCAAAAGGTGTTTTCACTAGAAGGATCAATTCCTAGAATGCATACGTAAATTCACGTGGCAACGGAAGAAAAATCAAGAGAATGATAACATAATTTGTCTGCTTCTCGCCGTCCATTAGTATACCAAAATTTCCATGTTCTTACCTCAACCTTCTTCTCTTTCTTGAAAAATATATTCTTAGGCTATATATTTTGCTCTTTCAACGATCTACTTATCGGCAAAAAATACGCATACAAGGACGTAGTTATCATATGCGGATTTATGATTTTAATTCTATGGGTTCAATATTTATTTAGCATTGAACCCATTATATTTTAAAGTTATAGGTTCAAATCTAGTATTTAATATAAATTTAGTGATTTTTGCATATACATTTATGCTCCGCGTCGAAAGTATTGGATTCAATTGAACCCAGTGCTATATGCTGCATCCGCCCCGGATAGTTAGGAAGGCGGAAGTTCCCGAAAAATCACACTTTTACATATACTATTAAAATATATTTTACTTATACATAATATATATTAAACGCGTTAATAAAAATTCTGGTCCGCCGCTATAGAGTTTATAAATATGTGCATCAACCATTCCATTGCATTAACCAACTTGTGAGACCATAAGGCGGCATTAGCCCTTTAAACGTGCTAATTAAACATTTATGGACCTATTAGTACATACATTTCTTTTGAAAGATTTCAACTTGTACATGTCATAACAGTAGGCGTGCAGTTTGTTGTCTCTAGTGTACTTATCCTGAAGCTCATTTAAATCTAATCTGATTTCCAACAAGAAAAAATAAGAAAATATATTTCGAGAGGAGTGTTTCCCAGAATATGATTTATCTACAAGTATCCAGATCTTTGCTTAGCTAAAAAAGTTGATGAATTGTGTTTCTTATTTTTTTTTATCAATCTTTTGTGCGTAAAGGGACCCCTCTACTAATGTGCTGTACATCCAATATTGCATTGTCGGCTGTTGCTGAAAATTAGGTCATCCAGTAAATATAAATGACTATATATATTGTTCATAATATCAGAGTACTTTAGTCTTATTTTTCAAATTATTAAACTCACTTTTTCAAAATATATATTACTCCCTCCGTTTCAATTTAGATGAGATAGTTTGATTTGCACGGAGTTTAAGAAAAAGGAAAAAGACTTTTGAAACTTGTGGTCTTACAAGCTTACAGGGTAAAAGCTTTGTGGGCCCATAAGATTTGTGTGGTTATAAAATCTTCTCATTAAGGGTAAAATTGATAAAATGAAGAGTGTAAAGTTGAATTATTTTCAAATTTAGAAGTGTACCGTGTCATTTATTTTGGAACAGATTAAAAAGAAGAGTACATCGTCTAATTTGAAATAGAGTGAATAACTAATAGTGGAGTATCTTTTAGATAATCTGATAATATAATAATTTTTATAGTGTCACCTTATAGATATTAAATTCAATATGATATGAACTAGTTTAATTATAATCTCCGATTCTTGATTCTGTTAAATTATTCATTAAATTGGCTGAATAATCTTCGCATAAGGCATGGGATTGTCCTTCAAGGACCAATCATCAATCACAAAGGTGTGATGCACCCTGTGTCACAATCTACAATATCCTTATGTTGATGCTACTTAATTTTAGCACTTTATCCTTTTTGAATACTAGATAAGAAAACGTCATGTCCCTTTGTTTCAGTTAGAATTCTAGTGTTCTTTCCCCCACCTTTTCAGTTAAGTCCCAATTTATACTAGTAATAAAATTTATTTGGGCATCTTTGCAATTCACACGCATCTGCCAACAGGTAGGAATGCATCATCTTATGAAACTAACCAATTGGATTAAAAACGACAAAAAGAAATAGTTTTTAATATATAGCTGTCTTCTGGATGAACTTCAACTTCAGGGTATAACGTCATAACCTGGTACAGAATAATGGGGTTTCTAAAATTTGTGCACAACGCACTTTTGGTGCATGTCAAGTTAATTTTAATTAATAAAAAATTTAAAACCTCATTGTACTTGCATGTTTGCTCGTGAAGATGCTGAGAAATTATTAAGGGATATGTTTTTTTGACGTGCACAGTTAAATATGATCCTTTTGTGTTTAAATTGATTGAATAAGCACTTCAACTAACAGTTTAAGCTGCTAGAAATGACCCAATTAATTACTTCAATTCGTTAAATTTTCGATACATTCCTATGTGTGTCTAATTCTTTTCTATAAATTAAGCACGTGAAAATTCTTTTTCGAGAATGTGGGGCAGAGAGAATTAAGCACAGGAACTCCTTCTGATAGAGTTGCAATGAGGATAGCAATGTGCAATTTAACGGATACCGGCTAACTAAAAACTGTCGCAACAGAAGATTTTTGTTGACGTAGCTGATGGCATTTCTTTTCCTTTATTTTCAGATATGACATTTCTCTTTCTAAAATTTTTCCTTTGCATTTTGCTTTGACACTAAGTAATTTAGAATTATTTTTCCTTTTTCGTATGGTAATGAGATGGCCCTCTTCTTTTGGTTTGTTTTTACTTGTAACAAGTTTTACAGTTAACCAAAAATAATCTCTGTGGTTACACTGCTAAACTAATACAGCATTTTTTATTTTTTAACTATACATCCCAATACATCATGTGTTCTACAGAATTCTAACTAATTGAAAACAATTTCCAGAATTATATTGTATGAGGTATTTAATTTGGTCTTTGTCACCATAATTGACAGAGTTGGGAAATCTGAGGAGGACTTTCCGTATATCATACTCGAAGTGCCAAATGTTAGAAAATCCAATTACGAAATTGAATTATTTGGAGACAAAATAGTTAATGATATTGACACCCAACTTCTGCGTTATGCAATTGAGTGACACGAAAAGGTTTATTCTACACAAAACGTCATGTAAGTTTGATCCTATACAATCATATACATTTTTTTATTTTATACCAATTCTTTTATGTTACGTGGATAACAATAAATGTAGCGTGTTAAAATGATTCATAAAAAGTAAAGTACTCGCCTATGATGAAAAGGAGAGCTTTATAAGCTGCAAATTTGAAGTCGTTAAGAATTTAGTTTGTAGCTTAAATTGTCATTAGCGGAAAGATTACTCACTACTAAAAGAATGTGGGTTGTATGGAAGCTTACAAGGTTGCCGTGAAATTTTGGCCGATATTCCCTTTTGTATCGGCATTTTAATAAATGACCTTTTTATTTTTTTTGAGATTGATGGACCTTTAGACCATAATCTAAAATTTCTTTTGAGCAAACTGAAAATTTTGTGAGAAAACATTAAACAACAGTCTAAAATTTTGTAAGTTATTCAAATGTTAGACTACAGTCTAATATTTTGTACGCAAACTGAAATTATATGAGTAAACATTTGACCAAGTCTAACATTGTGCAGAAGGAGTAATTTTTCAAGGGCTATATTTGCTAAACTTTTAAAATAGGAACAAATTTTAAACAATGACCTAAAAGGGACATTTTTTAAATCATCGCAAGGGTGCCATATTCTTTTGGCCCAAATTACAGTTCTGAGCCCATATATTCAAGAGGAATTTCAGCAACTATAGCTTGCCTATTACTATTCGTAGTAATTGTACAATTGTTACCAACTTATATCACTTGTATTCAGATACGCAACGATACAACCTGTGTCAATTGTATTCGTTCGCGTAACAAATACAATTTGTATCGGTTGTATTCGTTGCGCAATAAAACCAAGGCGAAATACAAAATTAAAGAAAAATAAAATATTCTTGTTGAGAATCAAACTCAAGACCCCTACTTACTAAGCGGACGCTCTAATCAACTGAGCTATGAGAGCTTGCTGCTCACTTATTTCAGTTCAAAACAATTGATCTTTTGTTTCATGGATTTGCTATAAAATTCAGATCTAGCTAAAAATAATATTTTTTTTAAATATAGCTATGAATGATGAATACAATGTATATGTTTGATGTGTCGTATAATTTTTTAAATATTCAACTAGTAGTGGGTATACCGGTCCAAGTTTTTAATGATCCATAGATCGAAACCTTACAGAACTGCTAATAAAGACATACCTCCTTAAATAATAGAGAAATGTAATTTTTCCTGTATATACAAAATTAGGATACTATTTTCTCGATTTAGCTAGGTTTTCTTATTTACAAAAAGTAATTATAGTTATTTATAAAATATATACAAATTCGGTCAAAAGCTATAATCTGTATACAATTTGTATGTAGCTTTTTAACATACAAAATCGGTCAAAATTAAAGCTACAATCTATATACAATTTATATATAACTTTTTATCATATAGAATCGGTCAAAAGCTACAATTTATATACAACTTATATATACTTTTTGTTGTACAGAATTCGGTCAAAACATATATAATTTACATACTACTTGCATATAACTTGTTAGTTGTATATATTTTGTATGTCGTTTGTACATTATATATATATCATTTTATTTTATTATTTATTATTATATAGAAAGCCAAAGTGGTCAACCACGGGTATATTTCACATTTCAAACCTAAGGTAGAATTAAACAGCCACCTCATTCATTATCTATTTTGTATTTTTGTCTTTCTCAAATTCACTTATATTCTTCATCTAGAATATTCTATGCTCAGAGTCTCCCATGGCCACATCTAGCTTTCTTCTTCCTTGTCTTCTCTTACATTTATGCTATTTACATTTGTTGTTATAGATCATTGGAGTTCAAGGATGTGTATTTCTTTTCACTCTT